CGGGGTTACAGTGGGGGCGTGGGGCTCCAGGGTGCGGGGTTACAGTGGGAGCGTGGGATTACAGTGGGGGCGTGGGGCTCCAGGGCGCGGGGTTACCGTGGAGGCCGGTGGCAGAGGAACCCTTCCGGGGCCAGGACGCCTGACTGCCCGTAGTCGGCCCAGCAGCGGGTGACCTGATCTCTCCCTGCTGATGGGACAGGTGGTGAGGTAGCCGGGAGGGACCCTGCGTTCTGCACGGACGACAGGTGCGGGTTCCTCCCCAGCTCGGTGCCGACCCCACCTCCAGCTCATTCCATTTTCAGAGTCCTGAGGTCAGGGGTCCTGAGCGCTGTGCAGTGTCCCTTATGGAAGGGCTGCAAGCCGGAGCCAGGGGACTCCACCCCGACTTTTTTTTTTTTTTTTGAGATGGAGTCTCGTGCTCTAGCCCAGGCTGGAGTGTGGTGGTGCGATCTCAGCTCACTGCAACCCCCACCTCCCAGGTTCAAGCCATTCTCCTGCCTCAGCCTCCCCAGGACCTGGTACTACAGGCGCGCCACCACACCTGGCTAACTTTTGTATTTTTAGTAGAGATGGCGTTTCACCATGTTGGCCAGGCTGGTCGCGAACTCCTGAGCTCAGGCAATCCGCCTGCCTCAGCCTCCCAAAGTGCTGGGATTACAGGCATGAGCCACCGCGCCCAGCCTGGACTCCACCTGGCTCCCGCAGCCAACCTGCCCTTGACTACCTGCCTTCCACCTTACCTGGTTTTCTTGGGAGACCAACCTAGGGACCAGATTCCTCAGTGTGGGGTCCACATGACTGAAGCCAATGTCACTTCCTGAGATTGGGGCCCAAATTTGTGACTGGGTGATGGGGCCAACAGTGGAGTGGGTGCCAGTGATTCAGGGCCTGGCACGGGAACCCTCCCGGGGCTGCTTTGTTCCCCAGACTGCTGGGCGCTGTGTGGCTGTGGGGACCCTGATGTGAGAACAGGACCCCACCAGCCTCCGAGTAGCTGGGACCACAGCTGCACCCTGCCTTGCCCGGCTGATTTCTTCTTGTGTGTAGAGATGGGGTCTCACTACGATGTCCAGGCTGGTCTCAAACTCATGAAAGTAAGCAGTCCTCCTGCCTGGGCCTCCCAACGATTACTGGTGAGAGCCACTGCTCTCTTACAGCTTTAAAAAATGGTTAAAAATGGCCAGACGAGGTGGCCCCCACATGTAATCCCAGCCCTTTGGGAGGCCAAAGAAGGAGCATCACTTGAGCTCAGAAGTTTGAGACCAGCCTGGGCAACATAGTGAGACCTCATCTTGGGGAAAAAAAAAAAAAAAAATTAGACGCAGTGGTGCGTGCCTGTGGTCCCAGCTACTCAGGGGGCTGAGACAGGAGAATCCCTTGAGCCTGGGAGGTCAAGGCTGCCGTAAGCCAAGATCGTGCCACTGCAGTCCAGCCTGAGTGAGAGCCAGTAGCCTGTCTCAACAACAACAAAAAAGATTAAGGCCAGGCATTGTGGCTCACGCCTGCAATCCCAGCACTTTGGGAGGTCCGGGCAGGTGGATCACGAGGTCAGGAGTTCAAGACCAGCCTGGCCAACATGGTGAAACCCGCCTCTACTAAAGATACAAAAATTATCCAGGCATGGTGTCAGGTGCCTGTAATCACAGCTACTCGGGAGGCTGAGGCAAGAGAATCCCTTGAACCTGGAGGCGGAGGTTGCAGTGAGCCGAGATCGCACCACCGCACTCCAGCCTGAGCGACAGAGCGAGACTCCATCTCAGAAAAAAAAAAAAAAAAAAGACAGAGTTGAGCCATCACGACAGGGACCGTCTGGCCACAGATCTGCAGGCGCTGACTCCGGCCCCATGGGGTAGTCTGCTGTCCCTTGTCTCAGGCGCGCCATCGCCTGTCCGGTGTTTGTTGTTTGGGGGTTCAGGGACGCCCCCAGCTGCCACGTCTCCTGTGCATCTCCGGTGCCTGCTGTCCGCGTCACCCTTTCGGGAGCGCCTGGTGGTAGCTGATGTCCTGCTTGCTCTTAACAGAAAGAAATGACTGCCCGGATGTGCCACTAAGAGCCCCACAGGCCCCTTGGCGCCCGAACCACCGCAGGGGCCTCGGAGACGTGGAGGACGACGCTCCTGAACCACCGTCACCTTGCTCTCCGGCCTGAGCATCTCGGGAGCCCAGGGCTGGGCCGCTGAGTGGGTGTGGGTCGTCAGGAGCCCCAGCCCCAGATGGCGGACGGCTTCCTCACCATCTCGAGCCTCAGTCTCCCATCTGGGACTGAACTTGAACTCTGTAATTCTGTGTGTTACTAGCAACCGGAAAAGCCCACTGTGTTTTTAAACCACTTCCACTTCCCTGGAGGCGGGCCGGCTTCCAGGCTCACTCCCCGCCCTGGGTGGCTCCCACCTCCCAGAATTTCCACCCCAACCCTAGTCCCCACCCAATGCTGCCTCCACTTCGCTGGGGAGCGCCTGCCCGGGGCTGCTGCAGCCACAGCCCTGCCTGGGCTGCCTCTCCAGGGCACCCAGCTTGCTGGGCTCCTAACCAAGAGGCTGAGGGGTGTCCCGCCGGCTGAGGGCAGAAATCTCCTCCCCCGGGCCTTTACCCCCCTGCCGGCAGCCGCTGGTGTCCACTTCACACAGCAGGACGACCTGGACCCAGCATCGTCTCCTCCCTCCCCGGTCTCTTCCCTTCTTTTTTTTACAGATTTTTTTTTTTTTTTTTTTTTACATAAAAGAGACAGGGGTCTCACTGTGTTGCCCAGGCTGCTCTTGAACTCCTGGCCTCAGTGGCCCTCCCTCCTTGACCTCCAAAGTGCTGGGGTCACAGGTGTGAGCCACTATGCCCGGCCCTGCCTATTCCTCAGAGCACTCTGCTCCCTCAGTTCTTCTGAAGCACAGCGCACCGGATCCAGGGCTGCCTGGCCTCCTGGGACGCAGGGCCTGCACCCCGCTGCTGACTCGTTTCCAAAGAGCCCCTTCCTGTGTCATAAAAGGTTTGATTTTTATAGTCACATTTACAGATTTACAACCATCTTGAGATTTCTTTTTTTTTTTTTTGAGACGGAGTTTCGCTCTTATTACCCAGGCTGGAGTGCAACGGCGCGATCTCGGCTCACTGCAACCTCCGCCTCCTGGGTTCAGGCAATTCTCCTGCCTCAGCCTCCTGAGTAGCTGGGATTACAGGCACGCGCCACTATGCCCAGCTAATTTTTTTTTGTATTTTTAGTAGAGATGGGGTTTCACCATGTTGACAAGGATAGTCTCGATCTCTTGACCTTGTGATCCACCCACCTCGGCCTCCCAAAGTGCTGGGATTACAGGCGTGAGCCACCGCGCCCGGCCGAGATTTCTTTTTTTTGAGACACAGTCTGGCTCTATCTCCCAGGCTGGAGTGCAGTGCCATGATCTCGGCTCACCGCAACCTCCGCCTTCCGGGTTCAAGCGATTCTCCTGCCTCAGCCTCCCGAGTAGCTGGGATTACAGGCACGCACCACCATGCCCCGCTCATTTTTTGTATTTCTAGTAGAGACGGGGTTTCACCATGTTGGCCAGGCTGGTCTGGAACTCCTTACCTCAAGTGATCAGCCCGCCTCGGCCTCGAAAGTGCCGGGGTGACAGGCATGAGCCACCGCGTCCGGCCGTCTGCCTCTTCAGAAAGTCCCCTCTCCCTGTGACCAGTCCAGGCCGGGCGCCTCTCCCCGGGTCTGGCATCTTCCACTTCTGCCAGTATTGGCCTTTCCCAGATGGTACAAACTTCCAGATGCACTTCTTTTTCTGTGTGGCCCCAAGGGCTGCGGGAGAAAACTCCACGAGCTTTATGTCCCCTAGACCCTTGGAAGGTGAGACCGGGGCGTGAACCAAGGAAGCCACCTCCTCTCCCTGGCTGCCGCCCCACTCCTCACCAGAATCATCAGTGGCCTTTGACCTCGGTGGCCCTTGCCTCCTGAGCCCTGCATTGTCCCAGGACACACGGAAGTCTGGTCACCTCTGGGTGCCTGGGATGGTCACCAAAGAGAAGGACACCGTTCCCGTCTCTCCTGGCTTCTGCCAGAACATCCAACAAGTGCAATTAACTTGCTGTCACCGCCAAAGCCTGAAGGTCCCAGAACGTGTCCTCCATCCTAGAAATCACCGGGGTCCAGCTCTCAGAGCCCGCAGGAGAGGGACCCCCAGCGGAGCCCTTGCAGGACTCCATGAAACAAGGAACTGCTGGATGGAATGGATCTCCTTGCACCTGCACGATGAAGCCTGAGTGCCAGCACTTCTGTCTCCCCAGGGCTCGAGTGTCCCCAGCAGCCCGGCCACACAGCTTCCCAGGTGGGCTTGGCGGGGAGCAGGGACCATCCCTGTCCCATCCACCCCAGAGACCACCCTCCCCAGCCAGGTCCGGAATAGAACTCCGGATGTAGACATCAGAATAAATGATCTTGTTATGGTGCCCTCGGCAGCTGCTGCTCATCTCCTTTCTTGCCAGAGTTAACAGGGTGCCCTGTCCCCAGGGGTGAGCCTCAGGTCTTGGGGCTGAGAAAATCTTTCTTTTTTTTTGTTTTGGAGACAGCATCTTGCTCTGTGGCCCAGGCGGGAGTGCAGTGGTGTGATCATAGCTGATTGCAGCCTCAACCTCCCAGGCTCACAAGATCCTCCCGCCTCAACCTCCTGAGTAGCTGGGACCACAGCTACATTACCAAGCCCAGCTAATTTTCTTTATTCATTTTTTTGTTTTTTTACAGGCCAGGGGCTGTGGTTCACGCTTGTCATCCCAGCACTTTGGGAGGCTGAGGCAGGCGGATCACTTGAGATCAGGAGTGTGAGACCAGCCTGGCCAACATGGTGAAACACTGTCTCCACTGAAAATACAAAAAAGTAGCTGGGCACGGTGGCTCATGCCTGTCATCCCAGCACTTTGGGAAGCCGAGGCAGGCGGATCATGAGGTCGGGAGTTCGAGACCAGCCATACCAACATGGTGAAACCCCGTCTCTAGTAAAAATACAAAAATTAGCTGGGCGTGGTGTCGGGCACCTGTAATCCCAGCTACTCGGGAGGCTGAGGCAGGAGGATCACTTGAACCCGGGAGGTGGAGGTTGCAGTGAGCCGAGATTGCACCACTGCATTCCAGCCTGGGTAACAGAGCGAGACTTCGTCTCAAAAACAGGAAGCCAGCCCAGGAGGCTTTGGTTTGCTGATCCCTGTCTTATACAGACCCCCCAAAAAATTAATTTTTTTCTGGAGACAGGGTCTCGCTCTGTCACCCAGGTTTGTCTGAAACTCCCCTCCCCGCCAAGTGATCCTCCTGCCTCAGCCTCCTGAGTAGCTGGGATTACAGACATGTGCCACTGCGCCCAGCCAAGAAAGTCTTCATTTTCAGCAGGGTTTGGGGATCTCCAAAAAGCCCCAAATGAATATGCAGATACCCAGTATATGGATGGAATTTAATTTAAATACGGGGTGGGAGGTCAGGGGCCACTAGGACAGACACTTCTAGAAAAAGGCTGAGGAAAGCCAGTGTGCGAAGGGGCTCACATCAACGCTGGATTTTTATTTTGTGAGAGAGTTCTTATTTCCCACGCTCACCAAAAGTGGTTCACTCTGCCTTGCTTGCTTTGTAAAAGAAAACAAAGTAGAAAACTTTTACCACGTGCCAAGGAACAGATTCAGTGGGAAGAGCCCGTTACTACCCGGCCCCTGTGGCCTTGGACAAAGGAACATACACTAAAACTTTTTATTCACTTGTTTATGTATTTCATTTTATTTGCTTATTTATCTTCAGACAAAGTCTTCCTCTGTCGCCCAGGCTGGAGTGCAATGGCGTGATCTCGGCTCACTGCAGCCTCCACCTCCTGGGTTCAGGCGAGTCTCCTGCTCAGCCTCCTGAGTAGCTGGCCTTACAGGTGCCCTCCACCACGTCTGGCTTATTTCTGTATTTTTAGTAGAGATGGGGTTTCACCATAATGGCCAGGCTGGTCTCAAACTCCTGACCTGAGGTGATCCGCCTGCCTTGGCCTCCCAAAGCGCTGGGATTTCAAGTGTGAGTCACCGCGCGCGGAGCAGATTTTTGTATTTTTAGTAGAAACAGGGTTTCACCATGTTGACCGTGCTGGGCTCCAGCTCCTGGCCTCAGGGGATCCTCCTGCCTCAGCCTCCCAAAGTGCTAGGATTGCAGGTGTGAACCACTGTGCCCGGCTGCTTTTGGTTTTGTGTATGTGAAAACGGTGGGCATTGGGTGAGTCTCTGGGGTCCCTTCCAACGTGAAACGTCATGGGTCCGGGGCCTGACGGAAGACCAGCTTTGGCTCCCGAATTTGGAATTTTGCAGGTCCGCAGCTCATCAGGGAGAGGAGGCCCTGGGGCCTGCGGGGTGGAAGCGCAGCCCTGTGCTGCTGCATCTCGCCCCTAGAGGGCGCCGCGGTGCTGGGAAAGGACGGGCTCCTGTTAGGCAAAGAGCAGGCTGCTGTTTCCTAGGGGTTCTGTTCTGTTCTGTTCTGTTTTTTTTTTTTTTTTTTTTTTTTTTTTTTTTTTTTTTTTTTTTTTTTTTTTTTTTTTTTTTT